AAGACCTTTCCACCTGAGTATCCATCCCATGTGCAGTCACCAAAGGTAGATGTTGATGTGGAAGTCAGGAAGTGCATGCTGATAAGAGCCTGATATGGATGTCTCCTCAGAGGTCTTCAAGAGTCTGACATATTCAGAGGCAGATGCTCACAACTAGCCATTGAAGTGATCATGGGGTTCTCAATGGAGGAGTTAGAGTGAAGACTGAAGGAGCTGAAAGGATTTGTGGCCCCATGAGGAGAGCAACAATACCAACCAACCACAGCTCCCAGGGTCTAAACCACCAGCCTGGGAGCACTTATGGAGGGATCCAGGGCCTTAGCTGAATATATAAGAGTGGAGGGCCCTGCTGGGCACAGGTGGAAGATGAGATCCTTGACCTCATGAAGGCTGGACGCCCCAGGGGGTGGGAGTTTTGAGGGTGGGGAGGTGGGAGTGGGGGGGTAGATAGAGGTTACATCCACAAAGAAGAAGGAGGAGGTGTGAGGGGATTGGGGGTTCCTGGGTGGGTGGGGGATGGGGTAAGGGGACAACATATGAAATGTAAATAAAACATCCAATAAAAAAATTAAAAAAAAAAAAAAGGCTAGGCTCACAACTAAAAAGATAAATATATCTGCATCAATTAACGGATATATTATTTAACAATATAGCTAAAATGTACAAATTAAGGAAAAACCAATGCATACAGTATAAACATAATAATCTATTAGATATTGTAAAAATTTTAAGGGCTCAATTATTTTTAAAATATTATACAAGCTCACTCAACATTAAAATCCATCTTAACCCACAAGCTATACAATCTACACAATGACCGTGAAACCTCCAAGAGCATCATTCATAAACTTCTATCTATTAGAATATGATTTTTAAAATTAAATCAGACAATTCTGCATTCCTCAGACATTTAAAAAAACTAATATTATTACCCACTGACTCTGGTAGATCCTCTTATGCTAGTGAAACCAATATAAATATGCCTGAGATACAGTGAACACTATTGTGAATTTTGAGACAAATGCTAGCAGAATCCAAAGATTAACATCAACAAATCATTTTAGAACAATGGAAGAAATAAAAAATTTTTCCCATAAAGCTTAAGCTGAAGAAATAATATACTTTAACAGCAGTACACATAAAAGAAAATTAATTCTGTAACATTTCAAAACAGCGTTCTGCCTGGTAAGAAGCTTAACAAAGTCTGAAATGTATGTGTGAACATTCTGTAGGTCATATAATACTTGTCCCCTTTGTCATGGACAATGGAAAAGTAATACTTGACAAAGTAACAATCAGATGTTAGAAAAAAATACATCTTAATACAACACAGTGCCACTAAATCTATGAGTATGATACAGAAGGCAGTTCCTCATTGCACACAAAATCAAAGCAATCTTCCACCGCCCATCAATGCCATCACTGTTGCTAATGCTTTGTAAGAATTTTAATGCAGTCTTGGCATTTCTTACCATATGCTACTGTTAAATATGTACAAGCAAGAATACTGTTGTTACATAAAGGCCTCCCTTTGGGTTATAACTGGGCAAAGGAAGTGCTGTTATTCTGTTTCATTCCATGAAACCACATCTGTCGAGTCACCGTGTTGCTCAAGCAATGACTTAAAGGCTATCACTCCTTAGCCTTTCCTTCACTAACAATAAATAATTTTTTGTTTCATCTTCTATTTCTGTTACTGCTGATTTCTGTTACATGTTATGTGCACAGATATGTGCCTAGCACTTACTACCATGTGTCAGACCTTTGTGCCTTATCCTAGACATGAAAAGATAACCAAAGTGGGATTCCTCTCTTCTAAAACCAACCACAGCCATAAAACTGCCCATCCATCTAGTTCATTAACACCATACCTTCAAAACACTTGGGAATGGACTGCCAATTCTGTCAAGCATATCAACTCTGGGAACCATTTGTATCAAATGATCAACTCTCTAGTTCTAAACGTTTCATCAGCAAAGTCCTATGACTTTATCAGCTGACAGCAGACGACTCCGACTCCTCACCACCAGCACCAGCACCAGCACCACCACCACCACCATCATCATCTTGTCACTAGGAGAACTAGCAGCAGTGTGTTGTGGTTTGGATGAGAATGGCCCCATAGACTCATGTGTTTGAATGTCTGAGCCCCAGTTGGTGGAACTGTTTGGGAAGTATAAGCAGATATGAACTTGTTGGAGGAAATGTGTCACTGGGAGTGAGCTTTTAAGTTTCACATCTAGTCCAGTCTAGTTCTGTCTGCCTCGTGTATGAGGATCAGACTACAAGCTCTCAGATACTGCTCCAGTGCCTGCTTGCCTACTGCCCTGCTCCATGTCATAACAATCATTGACTACTCTACTCTCAAACTATAAGCAAGCCCCTACTTGAATACTTTCTTTTAAAACTCCATTGGCCAGAGTGTCTCTTCACAACAACACAGAAGTAATTGGGCTGGATAGATTTATGTCACCTTAACACAAGCTAGAGTCACTAGAAAGGAAGAAACCTCAATTGAAAAAATTCCTCTGTAAGATCCTGCTGTACATGTTTTCTTAATTAGTGACTGATGGGAAGCCTAGGGTGGGTGGTGCTATACCTGGGATGGTGTCCTGGGTTCTATAAGAAAGCAGGTTGAACAAGCCATAAAGAGCAAGCCAGTATGCAGCACTGCCTCCAGGTTCTTTCCCTGTTTGAGTTCCTGTTCTGACTTCCTTTGATGATGGACAGTGATGTAGAAGTGTAAGCCAGTCCCCAAGTTGCTTTTGGTAGTGGTGTTTCATCACAGCACATGATAACCCTAGGACAGTTACTAAGACATAGTCTATTAGCACATGCTGATTGGTTGATTGCTTGGTTGACTCATTAATCAGCAAGTATTGGAAGCTTAGCAAAAACAAAACAATAATGCCAGTTAATAATGCCACTAACTAAAATATCAGACATGAAATGCTGAACCAAGTACTTTATATGTATTTTCATAAATTCTTATAAGGAATAAAGGTATTATAATCTTCTAAAAACAAAACCAAGGCTTGAGGTTTAGGAAACTTATAAAAAGACACACTGCTCCAAAACAGAGTTCAAACTCATTTGCCCACACTCCTAATGCTACCTCTCATAGAGAAAACCCTCTCTGTGGGGTACAATATAACAATATTATAATTTATTCTGTTCTTTACTAAGGAAGTTAATCACAATGAAAGATGTATTGTATAAAACCCTTCAGATTCATGGTTTCCAAAACATATTCAACAAAGAAAATAATAGAAAAGAAATCCATCCACACTGAACATGTCCAGATGTCTTTCCCTGTCATTATTTCCTAAGTACTGCCATATGTCCATATGCACTAACGTGTTGTACATAATGTAAAGATAACTTGGAATACATGAGAGGATATATAATTACACTGTTCCAGGGTTTTTCAAGGGTGTTGAGTATCTGAAGATTTCATGTTTTGTGGGGAAACTGCAACTAATTTCCTGTCACCAAGGAAGATATATTTCATATGTGTCCTTTAAAGTATTAAGACCATCTTCTCTGCACTGGAACACAGTCAGGACTTGACTAAATCAAACATTCCAAATGCAAAAATTCAAAATCTGAAGAGATCTAAAATTCACACTTTTTGAGCACAACAAGAAGCTGACCTCATTCAATGGTTTTCAATAAAAACACAATCAAGACAAAAAAAAACACAAAATTGCTTTCAGATTTTACATGTAAGAAATATAAAAAATGAATGACTCTTGTGTTTGACTTTGCTCCTGTTCTCAAGGTACCTAACTATATACATATAAATATTCAAAAATTCAGAAATTCAAAAATCAGAAACATTCTGGCTCCAAACACTTCCAAAAACTGGATACTGTGTACATAGTTCTACCAAGTAAAAGGGTCAATCATACAAGTGTGTCTCATCTGTATCCTGCCCTGGGCACCGTGCCTGAGTACATGTTCAATATACAGCAATGTAACTCCATCATTAACTCTACAAACTTGGTTCTAAGGTGAATATTCTATTTCTGTGAATCTGTGACATACCAATACCAACACCGACAGAAGCAGATAAGACATACTTATGATAAATAAAAAAGAATGAACTTTACATTTTCAACTGACTACAGTTTTTAGAAATATTTTAAAGATTTATTTTGATTTAGAAGTATGTTCGGGTGTGTGGGTATGCTACAGAACATGTGTGGGTGCCTGTGGAGGTCAGAAGGTGTTAGATCACCTGGAGCTAGAGATACAGGCAGTTGGTGAGCAGCCTGATGTGGATGAAGGGAACCAAACGAGGGTCCTGTGGAAGAGCAGCAAAGGTTTTTAACCTCTGAGCTACCTCTCTAGCCCTTTGGCAATATTTCTTAAATGCAGTTAAGAAAATATAAACCATTTAACACAATATTCCAGACAATATTTTAGTTGTGGAAAAGGTAGCATCATATCCAAAGCTACAACACACTGATTATGGATACATGAGGTATGCACAGCACTAGAGACAAGCAAAGCAGAGCAGGCCATGATAGGAGCGCACAGCTGGTAAGCATACATGCCTGGAATCCCGGCACCCAGGAGGCTGAGACAAGAGGAGAAAAAAAGAAAGAAAGAGAGAGGGGAAGAAGAGGAGGATGAAGAGGAGGAGGGGAAGAGGAAAGAGAAGGGGAAGAAGGAATGTTGGGGACAGAGGGAGGACAGACAGGTAAGCAGGCAAGAGACTACCCTGAAATTACTAAATTTAAAGATATTTAACTGCAAATTCTAAACTAACTTCAACCTTGTCTCTGAAGGCAAGTAAGAAAAGCCTAGTAATCTAAAGACCTAGTAAGAAATTTAAAACAAATGTACTAGACTGTGATTGGTTGAAATAATAAACAAACTATCTTTTTCCATGGCACCAATATCACTTTCCTGAAAACTTAGAGTACTATTCGTTAAGCAGTTAAGTACATTTTAAAACCTTAGTTCTCTAAGTCAGAATTCCTTTACTCTTTTACCTTTTCCTCTAGTTCCTCCTTCAGACTCTGGTATTTTAGCTTCAGCTTTTTGTTCTCATTTTCGTTCTGGGTTAATTCCTCCATCAGTTTCTCACACTGGGATTTCAGCTTCTCCAGCTGACCGAGATGGGCTTTAGCCATATTCTTATCTTCCAAGCTTTCTGCCTGATGTAAAGACAAGGAGAAAAGAGAAAGCTGACCAGCCGCAGCTAAGTGATACAAAATGTTATCCACACTGCAGCAGCGGGGAGAGAACGGTGAGACTTTCGCACTCTTGTTCATACGAGAAAACAAACACAAAGCAAGTGCTCTTTGCATGCATTCAGTACCTCTCAAACACTTGCTAGGTGACAGGGACCACAATACGGTGCTGAGGATGATAGATACTAACTCTAAAGCAGTAGGAGAAAACAGTCAACATCAACGAAGGCAAAGTATTTCCCGGGTATTTTGGTAAAACAGAGAGACTCACTACTGACCAAGGAAGGCATGACTGAAGAAGATCCCCATAGAGATGCTTCAAGATGATGCTTCTGGCTGGTCAGTTTCCTCATCTACACAAGAGGGGCTTAACCCTCTTCCTCCTGGATATTAGGAAAGACCCACAGGCTTTTCATATAATGTAATATTGGTACTACTCTCGCAGGACATAAAGAACAGTGTGAATGAGTTGTCCACCACCAATAGTGTAATAAAATCTCTTCTGATCTATATTTATTCAGATATAACCAAACTCAGCATTTTTTTTGTTTATTTCTTTTTGAGATAGTGATTTAGTTATGTTTCACCCTTCCCTTTCCTCTCTCCAAAGCTTCCATAATACCTCTTCTACATTGATGTGGAAATGCAAAGACTAAATACAGCCAAACCAAGAATATGCAGGAGGTGTCACCAGACAGGACTGCAAGTGTCAGCAACAGTGGGCTATTACTGCCTTATTGACTCCTGTTATGAAACTCAAGCCACCAGAAACTAGTAGCTTATGCAGGTGTAACACAAGGAAAATCAGAGAGGACCTGAAGCCAGCAATGCTTCCTAACACCTGCAATCTCACCAGGAATGCTGCCATAAGGCCTTACAAGCTCCTGAGCACAGCCTCAGTCGGAACTGGACACACCACTCACTAACAGTCAAAGAGCAATCCCATATGCTCTGTTTAAAATATGTTCTAATACCTAACATGTATGTGCTTTCTTTTCCTTTGCAGTTGGTGCTAAGTGCATGGAACGCACGTCTACACTAGGCAAACCCTCTACCTGAGCTAACCTAATGGCAGGCCTGCCTCCTTCATTATGCTGCCTATTACATGTGGTTAATTAGGTACATAGGAACACAATCACTGGAAACAAATTCCTGAGAGAAGTTTTGAGAGTTTTAAACAAAATCTATATTTTATTTACTCCACAAAATTCAGCTAAGACCTCATGCCACTTTGAATTAACAAAGGAATTGATTTTTTTTTATGAGCAATCCTGTATTCACAGGCCCAAAATAAATTTACAAAATAAAGTCTCTCATCAGGAAAATTGGCTCCATTACAATTTTAAGTTTCAGTAGACTGCTTTTTCCTTTCCTCTATGCCCTATAAAAAAGCAGAGGGGAGTGGGAAAGCCCTGGTGAAGGTCACTGACTCCTGGAGCCCGCTCCCAGCCCCTCAGGAGACAGTGTGACCCTTCCCCTCCCACTCTATCCCGGCCCAGCCATGCCTCACTTGAAATCAGCCAAGACCCGGACATCTACACCACTAAAGTTGCAAAATTCAATTTTAAAGGTTTTTCTTTCTTCCACTCAGAGCCTATTTTTAAAGATACCAATTCTTAATTTCCCTAATACTTTACCTGTTTGTTGGCTTTTCTTAAAATTACATCAGTGTTTCATTGGAGGATTTGCAAAGTCGTGTGTTCACAATAAGCAAGGGCATAAAAGCACCTATTCCTATTTCAGTGGTAAAGCAATAAAGGTGATATTACTTTACCAATAGCACAGAGCCCACAGTGGCAAAGGCACATCCTTCAGCTTTCCACTCAAGCCAACACAGCTAAACGTATGAAGGATGTTCTTGTAGACAATCCTGAACCTACCCAATCTGAACGAATCGTTACCAGTTCCTGGTAAGCACCGTGAGGCTCACTGCATATCGTAAATGGTTTGGGCAGCAGCCACTATGGACATGAAAGGACCATTTTCAACAAGACAACCATAAGCACTGCCTCACACAGCTGACAACAGTCCATGACCACCATGCAGAGCCCAGCCCTCCTCTGAGGTTCACATACTCCTCCACTCCTCTTATGCTTGGTGACAACAGCTGAGGGACCTATCATGCCCTCCACAGAGGTTTCTGACACATGACCAATCAAATCTCTTCATAAAAGCACCACAAATGCCCAAATGTTCCCCTCAGAATTACATAACTTACTCTGATCCCTTCACCCACACGCACAACGGAAACTCATTGGATGACCACTTGGACCTTAACTCTAAAAATCTGCCCGTGAGGGATTTCTGAATGAATAAAAAAAACCCTCTAACAATGGACCTTTACCCCCAGCACTCTCATTCATTCAGCAGAAATGTCTGTTCTCCTACTCTGGTTGAACAGCAGTCCTCACAAGCCCCCGTGCTGGTCTACACCCATCTTCCTATCCAACGCCTGCCTATTGCTGTTCAACTCTACTTTTACCGGTTTTAACAACTGTGTAGCCCATCCCTATCCTTGAACATCCTCAATGGTATCTTATAAAACCTTCAGAGGAGAGATGCCTTGCTGAGTACAAGAACACTCTACCTTAGATCCAGGACCCACACATTTCCTTTTGGACCTCTATCTTAAAATAGAATGAGCACATTTTTATTTCTTTAAGTTTGTCTGTCACATGTGACATTAAATATTTTATTTTATTTTATTTTATTTTATTGTATTGTATTGTATTTTATTTTATTTTATTTTATTTTATTTTATTTTATTTTATTTTATTTTATTTTATTTTATTTTATTTTATGTGTAGGGGTGTTTTGCCTAGATGTTTTATCTGTGCACCACAGACATGCCTGGAACTCATGGAGACCAGAAGAGGACATCAGAACCCTTTGAACTAGAATTATAGACAGTTCTAAGTACTATGTGGTCCTGGGACTTGAACCCCAGTCCTCTGGAGGAGCAGCCAGTGCTTCTAACTGCTGAGCCATCTCTCCAGTCCCATTAGTCATGCTTTTCTTGAAATATCCTCTGAGTTTCCAAGATACCACTCTCCTCTGCTTGTCTCTCATGTGGTCCTTTATTCTTATTTTCTAGAACCTATTTTTCAGCTCTTTCTTTAAATGTTGACATTCTAGACACTTATTCTTTTCTTTTTCCTTGAACAATATCCAAATCCTGTGAGACCTAACACTTGTGAGTTCAAGGATCCCACACAATTTCATTCTAATTTCAATTTCCTCTTACCTCCTGACTCTATTTGTACTCGGTACCTAGATCTGCATAATTAAGTAAGGCCCTGCCTCCTAACTCAACAAAGTAAAAAACTAGACTTGACATTGCTCTCTCCAGATTTCCTGTACTATCTACATATTCTAAGTTCATAAAAAGTGACATTATTCACCTACCTATCAAACTTCCTACCCAGTTGTTGTCGGTTCTAAATCCTTCCCAAGAGAGCTAACTAAGAACTCAAGCAGCTGACTACATGGGTTCAAATCCATACCTCCACGCTTTATGAGTGAGAAAGCATGCACACTAGCATCAGAAATGATGCATGCAATGATCAGCACATATAAAGTCCTTACAACTATAACTGACACAACATACTCAAAAATATTTTCTGACTGTATTATTACAATGATCAATCAGCAAATAATATGAGCTCATCTTCATAACCTTAATTCTCGCGTTGTTCATCCCGTCATCATTCTAAAGGGCTAGTGCACCCTATTTAATAAATATTTAAATATACTTGTGGGTTTTTCCATCTCCCATTTGGGATGTTAGCTATGTGACATCATGTCCCGGTTCTGCATGTAGGAGAAAGTGGGTTTTTTTTTTCTTAGTAGCATGCAACAATAGAGCACCTTAAAATTGTGGTGTCAAGAACTCCTAGCAACGTGCCACCTATTGTCCTCTCCTCCATTCTAATCTACCACCTCAGTTAATGGCACTAAAATGGCATCAGCCAGAAGACAAAACTGGGAAAAAAAAATCTATAAAGCATATTCTACTGGTATCTGCTAATGCAATATCATTTTCTCCTATTTTCAGTACTTTTAAAGTACTAATTGCATTCAAGAACTTCTGAAGAAAAATGACTATTAAATTTTACCAATTTATCCAATCGTTCACCTATTAACACAAATATGTGCAAGGTTTCAGAATATCAGGAACTGTCTGAGCCACTTGTGGTAACAGCTGAAGCAAACTCAACTTTTCATGAGTTTCACTATGACTAAGGAAAATTAAAATCATAATTATATGGAGCCTATAATTTAAGAATGATACAGAAAAGGCAAAGTAAGGAGATGGATCAATTTAACACATCTGATGATCGTCTATATCAAATGACTACCCTGCATGTGATAATGCCAATTCCATTTGACTTTAAAAACATTTCCACAAATGGGAGATCTCAATCAGAAATTTATCCATGCAGCTTTGATTTGAAACAGAAAGAAAAAATTGAAGAGGCCTTGTGTTTCCACAGCAGATATACTGGGTCTCCTTAGTTACCATATGAATAAGGACTGTGGCTATAGCTTCAGTGGCCTTGACAAGTTTTTGCCTTTTGTATTTTAGAAGGTCATAAATGTTGAATGAGGGCACATTTCAGGACCAGGACTTACTGCCACCTCAACCTTTCCTGAACTCCCAAAATAACTAAACGTTCACTTTAAAGGGCTCCTGTCTTCGGAAATAGATGCTCCCAGGTGGCTGTTATAACTCATTTCAACCTGGCCAAACAGGCATGAATAAACCTCTTTATTGTTGGTTTTATCTTCGCTGCAATGCTTGGGAATACTGAATGATCTCTAAAAGTTTATGCTTTATTAACTTCATGAGTCACCAAAAAATAAATTCCGTCAGTATCATCAAGATAACAGAGCCTAGGTACCTTCAGCGTCCTGATATGGCTCTCTGCCTCACACTTCTCCTTCTTAAAGTGCTTCATCAGCTCCTGGATATTCTGCTCATGCTTTGTCTTCACGCTCTCCAACGATGAGGTAAGGTCTTCCAGCTCCCTCTTGTGAACATCTCGTTCCAACTTTAACTGTGTGATAGCAGTGGCAGTTTCTTCTTCTTTAGATTTTACCTGGCCTGTCAGTTCAGAAAGGTCCCTGAGCACAGCTTTCTTGGCCCTCTCTTCCTCAGCCAGTTTATTAGCGAGATCTGCTCGGATGGCACTCAAGTCCTTGATGGACTCTTGCATCTCAAGAAGTTTGACTTTGTCTTGGGACTGGCTCTTCTTTAGCTCTGTAATTTCATCCTCCAGGTGAATTTTCTCAGCTTTTATCTGGCTTTGAATCTTACTCTGTCTTTTCAACTCATTTTCCAGTCTATGGATGGTGTCGAGGGATTTCTTGACCTCCAGTTCGAGTTCAGCTCGTTGGGACTCTATGTCATTGAGTTTCTTCTCCTTACAGTGAAGCTCCTCCTCCTGCAGGGCACGCTTGCTTAAGACATCATTAAGTTCCTTCCTGAGATTCTCTATCTGCTGTAATGCTGCACAAAGCTGGCTTTTCAATTCATCCCTCTCTTTTAGAACCTAGCGAGTTAAGAACACAAAACAAAACAAAAAAAGGTTATTGCAAAGTCTACCATGGGTCTTCCAAGTAACGAAATAAAATCTAATCTATAAGGGGAAGAAATTTTCACCAAATCATATTTTACATATTTTAATAAAAAACAATTTTAGGCTGGAAACGGGGTAAACACATAATCATTATATACCTACATAAAATGACATATTATAATACCACACTAATATGAATATGTATTTCACATACCCATTGCCAAAATGTACTAATCCATAATAATCAGTAATTATTTAAATGTAAGATAAAATCAGGTAAAAGGAATAAAGAAAAACCACTTCTATTGTGACCTACTAGGACTGATATTAGAGCATTGCCTAAAACAACAGGAATATATGTTCCAGTGACGCACTCAAAAAGAAGAGGTAAAGGATAATATGGGGAATATCTAGACAACATCTAAAAATGGTAAAAATGCATGATCCATGTGACTTGTGGTAAACTAATCAAATAATGCCAATACCTGATTTAAAAAAAAAAAAACAAAACACAGCAACCAACAACCATAAGTCTTGAGAACTCACACAGGTGGGCATAGGCTCTTTAAGAGGAGCACAGGTTGAGAAGGTACTCAAGAGAAATACATCACCTACAGGGGATTGCACTGGGTGACAGAGGCCAAGAACTAACCTCTGTGGTCTCTGGTTCTCACCACACACTCACTACAACTGGCAGCTTCAGCCAGTGGAGCCAAAGTTGCTTGTACAGCTCATAGGTACCAAGAGCAAGGCTTACTTAAGCTTGCTGCTGATGCTCAATACGCCCTCCTCACCATGATGTCGTAATTTTAGTTTTGGGGTTTTTTTTCCTTTTTATTTTTAACTGAAAAAAAATGCTTTCTATATTTGTAAGATGTAATAAGATAAAAATTAAGATTCCTTTCAGAAGCTGAAAGATCAATCTGAAACAATTACCCATATTTTGTATAACTACATAAAATCACATATACAGAGACATGAAGGAATGAAGAGGTGAAATTATCAAGGGCGACAAAGGACAAAAAAGAAACAAGGAGAGGTAAGAAATAGACAGTAGGATGCTATGAGGGAAAATATATCCAACACACTATACATACATGCATGCATACGTACAAATAAAATATAAATTAAATAAAGGGAAAAGGAAAGAGAGAAACAAGCAGTTGACCTTTGACCTGAGAAAACTGAATTTGTTTTATCAGTTCAACCATACATAGGCTTATAAACTTAAAATTCTAAATCATTTATCTTCAAAGAAATAACAACTAGATCATGTTAGGACTCAGCACCATGGCTTTCTCTAGTCACTACCATCATGTCCTTGGACTTTCCAGCCATGAGCACTGTGAGGCCAATACAATTCTATTGCTTATTTTCAGTCTATGGCCTTCTGTTACAAGAGGTAACCACTTTACATAAGCTGTGATAACAGATACAGTTCCAGAAATTAAAGAGACACACCTTTTTAGTGGAATCTAAAGAAGATGAAGATGCCCTGTGATGTTAGTGTGGCAAGAATCTAAGAGGAGACAACTTCAATACATGATTCATGCTTGGAAAAGAGACCACAGTGACCCTAGCCATGAGTCAAGAGGCTTTCAGCTAAAGTTGAGGGTTGGAGAATGTTCTCCTCTAGACATTGACTGAAACAGCAAGAATCTTTCTTTTTCTCACAGTGCAACAGATCCATAAATACAATGGTTAGGTAATAATCCTTCAAATCCTAGGCTCTGCTACTTCACAATTTTCTATGGTTCCCCTATTCCCAGCGTTCCAAGACCGGGTCGAGTTACATGAAAAATGACAGCTCAGGTTGTAAAATTACAGAACACTAGTCAGGTCTTGAGTGTCTTTGGCAATATAGATCCTAAAAACCAAGTACTAGCCATACATTTGCTTGTGGTTAAGAGCTGGGTGTGATAAAACTTGAAAGATCCCAGACCGAGACTCTACAACTGAAGGTGTGAATGAAAGACAATTGTAGATAAAGACAAATCTCAACTGTAGGAATCAGCAGCTAGAGCAGATCCAACAGAGAGGAATGACATGCAGATTTCAATGTGAACCTGACAAACTCTGAGTAATGACAGGAATTATATTTAACAGATAGGAGGGGAAGATGAGATGGGCAACAAACCCCTTGAGAGATCTGGAAACCTACTAGGGGACGGGGCAGTGAGGAATAAGAATGGAAAAGAATGTTGTAGACAGGCAAGCACAAGAATGTTGTGCAAACCGTAGTAAGTAAGAGCAGAAGAAAGGACAACTCCAAGACCTCAGGCCAAAGTCCACATCACCATTTTAATTTTACTAAGAGTACATAAGGGAAGTTTTAATGCTGTTCCCCAAGAAGACAAAGAAGAAAACTGCAGAAAATGCCGGTACTTTCCTGAACTACATCTCATAGGCTTCCGAACATACTCAGGAAGTGGAACACATCAGCAATGAGCCTTCTTACCTTAAACTATTACAACAGTTCCAATCTTACAGGGCAGGAGATAACATCTCTCAGCAGGGGAGAAATGCATAAATGAAAAGGATGGCAAATGAAGATTCGTAAAGTCACACACAAGCAAACAGCTCAGTACATAAGCCAGCTGATAATTCTGCCAACTCAGCAGAAGACAGAAAGGACCACGCAAGAAATACTAGCTGTACTGACTACAGTATAGGAAAGCATGGGGAAAATTAGAAACGTCACGCACTAGGATCACACTCAGATTTCTAATTCTTCCTCTGGACTTTTCAAAGGGCATCTGAAAACAACCATTTCCAACGGGACTTAAAAAGAACTGAGAAACTAAAATGTCTTGATGGACAGCCAGATCCCTGGAGATCAATTCTCTCTGCAGTCTCCCTGGATGATCATCGGATGGGTAATGGCCCCTGGTTGAAATAGTTAAGTCCTTTCCTTAAAGGGAAGAAAAATGATCTGACCTTTGTTGCTTTTTGATGCCATTTTCTGTAATAATATATGCTTTTTATTTAAAATTGCATGTCCCTTCATAAGTAAAATAGTTTTGTACCATGTGACCAAGATCCCATAAATGAGCATAAGAAAAAGAAATGAAGGCGATTTTAAAAAGTATTTAGTCTTTTCATACACTTTTAAGTGGCAAATCTTAGAGCAGAATATACATCATGGTACAAAGAGAAACATAGTAGGCATAGAGTCATTTTACAAATAGAAATATCACTTTACCACACAGAATGGATCAACAAAGCTCCAAAGTTATTTATTAAAAATTAATTTATTCTTTTAACTACAAGATGTCATATTTGTAAGTATCATTTTCACTTTAAAATACTTTTCAAAATATACCCAAGTGTCATTTTATGAAGCTAATTAGTCCAAAACAAAAGAGGATGCTATATTTTGCCTTATGGTATTTCTGTTATTTTTATTAAAAGTTAAATATTAAGTAAATATTCCTTATAGAGAATATTCAATTCTCTCTCTCTTTCTTTCTCTCTCTCTCTCTCTCTCTCTCTCTCTCTCTCTCTCTTTCTCTCTCGCCCCCCCCCCTCTCTCTCTCTCTGTGTGTGTGTGTGTGTGTGTGTGTGTGTGTGTATGTATATGTCTGTCTCTGTGTATGTGTATGTGTCTGTGTGTGTCTGTGTGTTACTGGGAATTGAACCTAGGGCACTTAATATGCCAAGTACACACTGTACCCCTGACCTCTGACCCCACCCCAACATCAGGATATGCTTCTCTATTACTCTCCACCATTTTTTAAAGATCAAGTGTCTCACTGAACCTGAAGCTGGTGTCTTGGCTAACCAGCTGACCAAGAAGCCCCTCAGGCCACCTGCCTCTGATGGCCAGGCTGGGGTCAGAGGTATGCACCACTGTGCCTAGCTCTTACATGAGTTCTCATGACCCAGTGTCAGGTGCTCATCATACATGAACAGCAAGTGTGAGCCATCATTTCAGCCACAGGATACTTCTACCTTTTCCCAAAACTGGTTGCCACATATTTGCACACTGCAGATTTACTGAACACTTGGAGCTTCAGTGTAACGTTTCTAATCCTTTCTCCCTTGATTAACCATTGCTCAGACATGCTGCATTAATTTTTCAGGTTTTTAAAGGAGAAATTACAATGCCTGCTGTGATAATTGTAATCTTACCCTAACTGCAGCAATCACTTAAGAACTACTTCTCTGCTTATCATCAGTAATGCTAAGTGATAAAGAAATAATTTTGTCAGGAATATTCTGGGGGCACGATTGTTTAATAATTTTTAGCATTCTGAAAACTCTATCTAATAAGTGCTCAGTACCATAAATTGGGATACTGCCTGGTGACACGGACCATTCTAAATTTCCTCTAATGCAGTAAGATTCCCCAGATAGCGCACAGTCAATCAATAGCAACTGTCTACTCTCCAGCTGCCTTCCCTTACAGGCATGATCACAGAACGAGCTGCCAGGCCAGGCCGACAACAGTGTAATCAAGGTTGAGGAATTTACTGGGATCAAATCAATTGAGAGTCAAGTCCAACACTTTAGGACTGCTTTACCTCCTGGCAACCAGCCACTCACTGTGTGTCAGACGAGCTAAAACGGAAAGCATTCCACAGTGAGCACAGGCTTCCTTGATCTTAAATCTGAAAAATGCATACAGAAAAGATGAGACCTCACAGTCATGACATCTGACTGAAAATGAGCATGTGCCATTATCAGGGATGACGTCAAGAGATCCTATAAACAAAATCACCCAGCATTTTCATGTTTTGATGTTAGTATTATTACTTCCAAAGAATGTCCGCTTAACCACATGATTATTCTGGACTATTCAGAGTTCTTGACAAAAAACAAAGTACATATAATAAACCAAGACAAAAATCAATCATGGCTTTTTATTCTTATTAATTGGTGTTTAGTTCAACCCAAAGATATAGGTAAAAATCAACCCAGAAGCATCAAAAAAAAATCTCTTTATAGTAACTAATTGCACAAGAGACAAGATAACATCAATACATGGAAAGATTAGCACCAGGCTTTTCTGTTGCTGTCAGAAGATCATAAGTTAGTCATAAGGAGCCCTGTGATCTGATGTACTTTCTGTCAATGGGACCGTCAATGTCACTCACTTAGATCACTGTATTATAACACCTCCCAGAGTAACTCATTAGTAATGACTACATTTTCAACATGCCTTCTTTCTACCATATTCTTAAATCAAAATACTAAAATAAATGAGATTTTAAATACATGCAGTAGGGGTAAAGCCACATGATGTAAGGAAGATTAGGTGACCTATCAACTGGAAAGTTAGATACAGAAAAAATAACTTAATTTACGGAACTCATAAGGTAAACTGAGACAGAACATAGAAGATCCCTCAACTAACTCTGAAAAGCCAACGACTACTAAAATATTTTAGAAGATCTGAAAAATCCAAACTCTAAATAATGTTTTTCCTTCAAGTAGACAATACTTAAAGCTCTTTGTTTGAGGACACTTATAGACACAGCATGGTCCTCAAGTGGTTGTTCAAAGCTTGCACAAGCAAAGAGTTAAGAACCTGGATTGTGTACCTGGCTGTTCTTATCTGTCAGCTGGACAAGGGTTTCAGCTTGTTTCTCCATTGATCGTTCCAACTTCTTATGCTTCAACTTCCACTGCCGGATAGATTCCTGGGCCTTTGTTTTCAGGTCCTCTCTCTTCTTCTCAGCCTCTTCTCGCAGGGCTTCGGACCTCTGAAACTCACTAAGGTAGTGTTCTGCCTGCTTAGTCGCATCCTCTGCATGTTGACTTAGCTCTGTGATCTGGAGGTCAGTCCGCTTACGATTGGCTTCACAGGTCTCAAAGTGATTCTGGATCTCTGTAAGTTGATCCAACATCTGCAGCTGTTGTTTTTCCCTGTTCTCCAAGTCACGTGTTAGATTCTAGAAATTAACCACATGGAACACTAAGATTAAATTCTTGTCAATGTTGGGTATGTACCACGCAAACTAAGACTCTGAACTGTCACAAAGACAAAAGTTACCACTACCCAGTTTCATTCACAATCTAGAATGTGCAGTTCATTCTATGTATTTAATAGTCAAATTAGCTGGGGATAAACTATTATCTTTCTTTCTCACTATATCTTTGTGATTACCACAAAAATAGAAGGCAGTGCTGAAAAAAATGTGCTATTTTAGTAAAAACCTAGCTTCTTGTTCAACAGAAGCAATGTCAGTGATTTAAAATGTATCAGCTTATTAAAAAAACTCTTAGAAGCAATTACGTCACATTTTACTTTCTAGCAGCACCTGAAACTTTATAATAATAAAACAATAAATCAGTAACAATAACATGAGTATTGATGGACGCACTACTGTCAATAATACTAGGCTTCAAAGTTCCTCTCAAAGATCCCCTGTGAAATGGCAGTGGTATTTCTAGCACTGCTCTCAAGCTGATATGAACCACTGCAGTATAGATTTTTAAATAAAGTTAAATTTATTCAGGACATTTCTCTGGTCAAGGCAAGTATCTTAAAATGTAGTTCTCCTCAGACAGGGAGTGGTGGGTAATTTTTACATTTGGAACGTTATACTAAATCATGATGTATAACACATATTTAGTATGAAAATAATTAAATATTGAATTAAAATGAGAGTTTGGTTTTATGTGAGTAAAACATGTTATTTCATTCATTAAGCCTTGTAAGGAAGTCACAAGCACAGAAATAAGTATTTGCAGTGGTTTGCAAGAGATATCCCTCCTGACAGTCACTTTCCTATGCCTAGAAATGACAAAAATAACTCTAAAAAGCCATTGGTCCAAATAACAATGAATCCAACAAGCTAAAATGATGCTGTGAATCATGGCAGAAAACACCATCTATGTGCACAAAGGCACTGACAAACAGACAGGCTGGAGCACGTACAGAGACCTAACCTCAACAGCAGCACTTACAAGCCTCAATTTCATCAGCCACAATCAATGAGTCAAAGATAAGCCCCATTCCCCCATAATTCAATGATAACCAAGCTCCAATCCATAGAATCCCAGAGGCTAGCTATAAAGAAAAGGGATAGAGGGGGACAGACAGATCTCCTTAGAAAAGGGAAAAAGAATAGATAGTTATGGTTGGAAGTGGGGGAAGGCTGGAACAGGAGGGTCAAGTGGAAAGATGAAAAGAGAGAGAGAGAGAAAGAGAGAGAGAGAGAGAGAGAGAGAAAGGAGGAATGAGGAGCTAAAAAAAGAGATGGATAAAATGAAGGATAATAGGAAGACATAATACAGCAGAATGTTCCCAATAATAATAAAAATAATCTTCCTAATATAAAAAATGAATATATATATATATACACACATATATATATTCTACATGAGATCTTCAAATAGAAGCCTATTTGTTTTCTAATGAAAGAAAGGAGTTGGGTCCAAATGGGAGGGGAGTTGGGGAGGAACTGGGAGGAATGGAGAGAAGGGAAAGCATAATTGGGATATATTATATGAGAAAAAATTTTGTCACTATTAAAAAGTCAGTTTAACATTATACCAAAAGTTTCTTTTCAAACAAATACCAATGCCTTAAAACCAAAGTTCACTTTCAGAGCAACAGGTTTGCATTTTCTCAGTTCACTAAGTTCAAGGAAGCCTGGAAGACTTGAGTCACTCCGTTGTCCACCCAAATCAAACAGTAAACTGAGAAGTATGTGCTTGTTTGCATGGAAAATTCTAAGCTGAGATCAGGAACTCCTAGTGATTGTGGTTTCCCATTTGCCCTTATGCTACAAGCTTTACTGACACTCTAGAAATCATCCTTATCAATGAGCAACAGCCACATGATTTCGAATTTGACAACAAAGGCAGGGGTGGGGAGTTCCTTCTTGTCTGTTTTGGCAACAAATGACTTAAAAGGAGAGTGCTCATAGCTACTCTGTCAGACACCTAGCTTCTAGATAGCATATGTGTCAAAGAAACTGACAGTTTAGTTGGAAAGCTAGTCACAACCAACCTCCAAGTAACACTGAACAGCAGTGAAAACTAACACTAGCAGGTTCCCTCCTGTTGCTGGACCTGATCATTATCAAGGAGAGGACTTGGCATCCTTTTTGTAAGCTTTCAAACCAGGGTTCATAACTTCCATATTCTTTCACTTTATTCATTTCTTGCTGACCTTTCAAACTCTTTCATCAACAAAACCACCAACTGTGGATGAACTAGGCAATTTCCTAATCCCTACCACAAGCTCTGAATCTCTTGAGGGAGGAAATATCACACAGGAGCACTAGTCAATTCAATCACAAACCAGGAGCCACCTTCCAGCACTCAGAAATGTTTCCACACCTTTATCCAATTTACACAATGGCCATTCCAAACTATCTCATTTACTACTCTGCCAGCTTTCACCCACTTTTAGTATGCAACCCAACTCTTCATAGGCTAAACTGAGGCAGTTAAGGCAGGGTACCACCAAAATGATTTACCTATACAACTCTGAATCTTTCCAAGGGCTAATATGTCTCTGTGGCCTCTATAGGACTCCATCATCAGTACACAAATAAACCAGTAATGCTGTTTCCTGGAGGGAACTTTACAGTTAGAAGGTACAGAACTATCTCAGCCCCTGTAGCATATCTTGATAACATTTAGTCCCTGTTTAGATGATGTAAAAGGAGAAAGTAAAAAAAAAAAAAACAACACACAGAAACCCCCTATTTAACTAAGAATTACTTCCCATACATTATTAAAATGTTATTAGATCTTCCAAATAAACCTGAAAACTTCATACACCTCATTTCCATCTCTCCTCTCATTCTTCAAAGGGGAGAAGACGTTGGTGTGTACTTATGTTAAAGGCCTTGGGTTTGGTGAGATCTAGAAGGATGTAAAGCACTTTATAGTCAGACTTGTGATACAGTTTAGTAAAATTAAAGGACACCAAGAAAAATAAGCAGAGGAAAACAGGATAGAGGCATATGCCCATGGAAAACAGGAGCAAGTATCCAGTTCTCCCCTAGCAGAGTCAAACATGAAACGCACAATCCCTCTAGCAGTGAACTCATTAGAAGGTTTAACAGTGGGATTTAACTTTGGGATGGTCACATAAGCACCCACCATCTGCCTAATACACATCAAAATTCAAATGCAAAGACAAAAGAAACAAATAGACATTCAACATAAAGCACATTATTTATACAGTCTAAGCAAAGTAAACAGTAGCAAGACTCACTCAGGTTTTACTTCAAATCCCAGCTCTGAGACTAAGCCTTCTGAACCAAAGCTATTCTATTTACAAGTGAATCAAAGAACACCAACCTCTCCTAGGAATCACAACTCAAGCAACATCTCAAAACCACATGAAGAGTACGTGGCACATTTAAGAAATTAAGAACAGATCTTGATATCTGACCAGAGGCCATATTATAATTAGAAAATTAGTGCACAATGCCTACATGTTAGAGAGAGGGAGTTGAAGCAGAGCAAGCAATGAAAGTTAATGTAAGTATTTTACTTACATAGAACGGACTAGCCATAAGTCCTTGTGAGCCAATTGATACATCACTGCATTAATCCTGAATATGGGCTAAGAACTTTAATATCTGTATAAATGGTCAAAACCAGAAAGGAATCCTGGAATAGGAATTACATAAATATCAATGCACAGATATTCCTAGAAATTTGTAGAAACTGGAGGGGTAAGGGGGTAAGAATCACAGGAAAAGGCTTGACATGAATTAAAACAAAAATCAGGCACTAGAGTCATAGTACAGAGGTAAAGAACTTGCCTAGCATATAGAATGCCATGGGATCAACCCCCAGAATTGTGGTGGGGGCGTAGAGAACCTTCCTATTCTTGCTAGACATGCTGGCCCAAGCATGTAATCCCAAGACTTGGGAAGCTGAGGCAAAATTGACAAAAACTCAATGTAAGCCTGAGATATAGAATGAGTTCCAGGTTAACTAAAACACATAGCAAGACCCTGTCTCAAAACATAAACACTATATAAATGAATAAATAAACAGGTATGTGCAGAATCTCCTACCTAGAATGTTCAAGACCAAAGACCATGTGCTAGGCACTGAGGAAAATACTCCACAAGAAATGCTGACTGGTCAAATGCTATTGGGTGGGAATGGGGTGCAGGAAACAAGACCACTGATGTTAGTAGAAACACGATTTCAGTCAGTAGATTCGAAAGAACCCATCTGTTCAGTGAGATATCAAAGGGGGAAAAAAGAAGATGACTAGCAAGCAATGTAAAATGAGAGGAAAAGATCTGTCTAAAGGAATAGAAATGAGCAACTCGGTCAAATGAAGACTACTCATTCTAAATGGCCAAAAAAAAAAAAGACTGGAAGCTAAGGTCAGAAATCGAGCTGAGAAGATGCCAAAATCCACTTGGAACTTTCAAAGGTTTCCCGGCAAGGGAATAACATGATCAGATATGTAACTGAGGAAGATTAATCACTAACGGGCATTATGCTAATACTCACATATTCAAATATTATGGCACCATTAAAAGTAACTGAACATTATCCACTGAAAGCAAGAACAGACTTTTAGGACCAATTCTTTTTTTTCAACTTAACTCAACTGAAGCAAAGTCAATAAAGCTGGCTTTTAACAGATAAGAGCAACCTGTAGCCTTCAAAGGACCTTCAAAAGGAAAAAATGAACACCTGTCAGTTTTTCTAAGGAAAATCCTCTGCATGTTTTGATTCAATACAACACACATTTAGTGTGCTCAGGAATATGCAAACTGCTATGATAAAAAGACAACTATGATGGCATATGTTCTGCTGTCCCAGAGAATCACATAGCCTTGTAGGGGAAGAGGGAGGAGAGCCGAGTCACCTGTCATACATGTGACATACATGAGCAACCCTTCTCTGTTTGAAATCTCACTGTCCTTCACATTCACACTGCTCGTATGTTTGGATGTCC